GGATTACAAAAAATTCTATCATGGGTTACAAAAAAAAAAAAAAATTTCGATCATGGATTACAAGAAAAAAAACAAACATTTCGATCATGGATTACAAAAAATTCGATCATGGATTACAAAAAATTCTATCATGGGTTACACAAAAACAAAAAACAAAAAATTCGATCATGGATTACAAAAAAAAAAAACAATTTGATCATGGATTACAAAAAAATCGATAAAGTATGACAAAAAAATCGATCAAGCATTACAAAAAAATCTATCATGGATTACAAAAAAAAAATTTCGTACGGGACTCGCTGATTCACTGTATGGACTCGCCGATTTGTACAGTGAATCGGCGAGTCACTGTACAGAATCGTCCGGTTCTCTCTAGAACCGGACGATTCCCGTTTTTTTCGCCGATTCGAGACGTTTTTTTAAACACTGCTTATAGCTATAGAAGCCCAATTTGACTTTGAGGTTTATCAAATGGATGTCAAAACAGCCTTTTTAAATGAGATTTAGAAGAAAAAATTTACATGACTTAACCTGAGGGATTTGAGGAGAAAGGAAAAGAGAACCTAGTATGCAAACTTAATAAATCCCTTTATGACCTGAAACAAGCATCGCGACAATGATACATAAAATTCTAAGAGACCTTTGCACTTGCAATGTTTTCTACAAAATTCAAAAGGTCAGTGGGAGTGATGTGGTCTTTATATCGTTATATGTGGATGATATGCTAATTGTTAGTAACTCAATTGTCCTAATAGTAGAGACAAAAAAATTTCTTGCACAACACTTCGATATGAAGGATTTTGAAAAAGCTTCATATGTGTTGGGCATCAAGATAATAAGAAACATGAGAGAGAAGACTATCCAAGTTTTTCAAGCAACATACTGTAAGAGGATTCTGGAAAAGTTTGATATGAGTATGTGTAAACCCATGTCTACCCCAATTGACAAAAAGACGAAGCTTAGTAATAAGATGTGTCCTATCGAAGATATGGATATAAGAGCTATGAAGTGAGTGTCATACAACAGCGCAATTGGGTCCCTTATGTATGTCATGACGGGAACAAGGCCTGACTGGTCATTCGTCATGAGTCTGGTGAGCCGTTTCTAAAGTAATCAAGGAGAGGAGCATTGAAATGCTGTAAACAGAATTCTCAGATATTTAAAGAGGACCATGAACTATGCGCTCACATATAAGGGGAGAACTGAAATAACAATAGAGGGATATTCAGATGCAAGCTATCTTGCGGATCCAGATGATGCGAAATCTACATCTGGGTATGTGTTTATGCTAGGAGGGGGTGCGATTTCTTAGAAGTTAAAGAAACAAGATATTGTGGCTTTGTCCACCATGGAATCCGAGTATGTGGCATGCCATCTAGCAGCCAAAGAGGCCGTGTGGATTAAGAAGTTTCTTAATCAACTTAATTTCCATCCTGAACATTGTGAAGCAGTGCGAATTTTCTGCGACAACACGGCGGCTATTTGTGTCTCTAAGGAGCCTTGATTTCACAAGAATTCTAAGCATATCAAGCCATACTTCTATCACTTGAAGAATGATCTGAGATTGAAAAAGATCGAGATCAGCTACATA